CTCAAAATCATGTAATAAAATGTTAACTTTCGAGTCTTTGACTCTACTAGTTCCCTCGTGCGTGATTTCAAGTGTTCGCCAAATATCAAAAGCCGAATCACACATTGAAACGCGATTAAATTTATTTTTGTCAAGTGCACAAAACAAGGCATTCATAGCCTTTGCGTTTAAAGAAAAATACTTCTTCTCCAAATCCGACCATTCGTTCATCGGTTTAGAGGGAAGTTGAAAACCGTTTTCAACGATATTCCATAAATCCAAATTCATAGAAATCAAGAAAACTCTCATTCGAGTTTTCCAATAAGTGTAATCTAATTTGTTAAACAATGGTGGACGAACAACCGATAAGCCCTCTTGAAAGCCATGAAGAGTTATTTCTCTCGGGTGTAAATTCGAAATGAGAAATACTGGGCTCTGATATCAATTGTTAGGATCAAGAGCACTAAGGGGGGGTTGCACCGCCTTCCGGGTTCTGGCGATTGCACCGCCTGACTGGGGTGGTTGCACTGCTTGGCAGAGCTCGAAGACTGAGCCTCTAGACAGTGCCACCTCCTGTTAGGGGCGGTTGCACCTCTGTTAGAGGTGGTTGCACCGCCCAACCAGAGTTCGGAGACTGAGCCCTGGGCGGTGCCACCGTCGACCCAGGTGGTGCCACCTCTGGCGGTGCCACCGTCGACCCAGGCGGTGCCACCTCTGGCAAAGAAATCTGGGTCTGAATAGGCTGATCCATTTGGCCCAATGCCCGAGTCCACGACCCGAAGCCTTCTGCCGATACATCGACCGATCCACCAGCCTGACGTCCAATCTTCTGACATGTTCCTCCGGCACAACATGATTTTTCCTGCTTTAATTGTCTCATCTTGATCGGAGCATCCTGCGTCACTCAAAACGTAGATTAAAATATAAACATATATCAAGTGGTTTCATCATCAAAATACGAGATTCAACGGATAGAAATGAAATAGAAAGAATAAGATTGTATTGATTGAAGAAATACATAATATTTCATATTTATATATGTTTAGAAGGGAGAATTTTCTTAACAGATTTATGATATCTCATCATGTAGTTAGGGAGATCTTGGCTATAGTTGAGGTTGTTATCACGGGAGATCTTGGCTGTTGTTGAGGTTGTTATTATGGAGATCTTGACTATTATCAAAAGCGATCCATGTTGGGAGGAGTTTCTGACTTAATCTCTCTAATGTCCAATCCCCTCTTCAGGCCTTGGAGATCGGCTTTTATACATATACAACCAATGAAGCAAGATCGACAAACAACTGATGGAGACTAGACTATACACTCTCTTGGAGCTCATTTATATGGACAACCAAATGGTACGATTCCTTATGATGCGTCATTAATGAAGGATGACTGCTAAGACATCGCTTGTCAATACTAACCGCCACCCGAAATACGCGAATGATGATCGCCTGTACTAGCCGGTTGGGGAAGGGGCAAACAGGCTATCTCCAGAGAATTACTACTCCTGATGGTCGACCTATACAACTTCCTTTAAAATCACGATATGGGAGCAAAAGGTTATTGGGAAATCTAGAAGCAACATTATATGCGCAGTAGAAAAACCTAAATTTTTAAAAAGGTGTTCGTCATCATTTCAAGATTGATGCGCAAAAACTTGCAAAACTTAAATCCACGTGTGAGATAGTGTTTTTACCTAGGGAGATCGTATATCCCTGAATTCCTATAAATCTGTGGGAGTGGATGAAGGAGTTCAAGTGTCCTCTTCTCTAGCGATAATCCACACAAAAGGGGGCTACGATAACGCTCCTTAAATTGAAATCTCCACACTTTCAGGGAAGCCCAAACCTATGGGCTTTTGGTTCCCTCCTATTTATAGAGGCCCCTAGTTAACTTAACCCTAATGGATCCTGCCATATTGGATATTGAATCTCCATCAAATTATCCAAGCCTCTTAGATTAGTAGGTCTTTATCCAATAATATCTTATTAGCTCTTATTGGATCTCATCCATAGGATCTAATAATTCAAGGGCTTATTGGATATCCAATAAGATAGAGGCTCCGACGAATATCTCATAATCGAGCCTCTACTCGTCGCAATGCCTACCATATGTGTGTGACCCTCTAGGCTCAATATCGAGTTGGCCATGAATCATACTATCAGAACTTCTTCTAGCTCAGAGAATTATTATCTCTATAATAATTCACTCGACTCATCGACTACGGGCGTATTATGTCATTATGTCATAATCTCCAAGAGATACAGGGGAATCCAATCCTTTAGACCTATTTGTCCTCAATTACCATGTACCTATAATCCCCCATCCATCTAATATCCCAGAGACCATATACCGAGTATAGTGCTGTTAGGCCCATACGATATCTCCTCTAGTCTCGCTCTAATTGAATTCTCCCTGAGAACTCTTTCTCTCTCAATTCGAATGACCTTGGCTAAGGATTTTTCTAAGCAATAACACGTAGGATATTCCTCTCATGATAATAAGAGTGAATGATCCTCTATCGACACTCAATAGCCCTTATAAGGTTGGCTACTACTCCCAATGACCGACTATATTAAATTTGGAACTTCCAAACCTATAAATCATATATCAAAGAGTGAAGTACTTATACAAGATATCTTTGATATCTCAAGTCTAAGGACTAGGTACACTACTAGGATGACGGAATCACTATCTAATAATGAGGTATCATCAACCATTCAACATTCTGTAAGCGAATCAATCAATGAACTCATTTTCCAATGAGCACATGTACTGTATCCCTAGTGTCCCCACATAAGTAGCTATGAGACCAATCACCTCCATCATATGGATGGATATGTAGTGCACTAGTCTATTCGGTTATCTCGATATCCCTCTTGAGTAACCTATGATCGGGATTATTTAGGGTCTGTGTTTAAAGACGAATCAATCTTATTATCATGATCTCATCACGATCCGATTTTTATTGTATAGATCCACGGACAGATATAAGACTAACCGTCTCTATCATATGGATTGGTATATAGTGCACTAGTTTGTTCAGTTATCTCGATGTCTCTCTCGAGTAACCTATGATCGAAATTATTTAGGGTCTATGTTTAAAGATGAATCGGTCTCATTATCGTGATCTCATCACGACTTGATTCTCATTATACTGATCCACAAGCATCACAATATATATATATATAGAATAAATAATATAAAATAAAAAATATCATAATAATAATAAGCAAAAAAACAAAAAATTATATATCGTGTCTCATCACCAACGTGATTTATTTGTAACACACCTGAGCAAAGTTACTGCCCTGCCCGTCTATCACTTCCGCCGGTGAGCTGACAGGCTAGAAAGCTGATGTCAGCACATTCCACGTTCTAATTGTTTGATTAATGACGACAATAGACAACAAATAAAGGCACCAGTTGATCCTCCCTTTCCACCAACTATAGCAGACAAGTTCTCATTTGGTTCACTTACCACTGCCATCAGATGCTTGAAGATACCATCTGGCTCTGATGTTTCGACTGCTCAAAGAGCAAGAAGCATAACACGGTTAAAATTGCTCTTTTAGAACATTAGCAACAAGAAAATGTTTTTGCATATCAGCCAACCACAGGAAGTACATTCTTCATGTGCATTCTTATCCCATGAACAAATGAAGGTTTTGCAGCTCTACCTAATGCATTCCCACAAATCAGTTGATTGATTGCAAGAATGACATTATCTTTGCTTACAAATATAAAAGAATGTCATAAAACATACTTAAATGTACACACATTGAATAACAAATCAGAGTTTCACATCCTATAAAATTTGTGCCATGACTTGAAAGATTATTTACATGCAGTTTGAAGAGGTTGCAACCTACTATCCAAAGTGCTGAGTTAACCACTGATCGAACCCCACATCCGTTCTCACAAAGATTATGCCTGGACTGAAGGTTGAGGTTGAGTCAATTAATCATGAAGGTCATCAATCCATGCATACTCCCATTTGTACCAACTGAAATATGGCTGGCTGAACCAGCTTTATTTACACCTTGAAGCTGATCCATGGGGGGAGCTTGTGATGCTACCAACAGACCCATGCGTTTGCGAGCTCAACTGGGGGCTAGCAGGTCCAGCCACTGGATTACCACTGTTATTAGTAGGCTGAAATGCACCAGAGCTTAACTGCTGGGGACTCATTGCAGTCTGTTGGCTCAGTTGTTGAGGGCTGATATGCTGATGCTGCATCACCATCACTGATGGGGAACCCACCATTGGCGGAGAGCCAACCTGTGGCTGTTGCAATGGAGAGCTTACTTGTTGCATTTGGTGCTGCTGCTGTTGCTGTAATTGTTGGTGCTGAAGCTGCTGCTGAGGATTTAGGTAAAAATTCGCTCCAGATAATTTAGGAGGACCCATAGGCAGCATTGCATTCAGTTGTAAAGAGCTCAAATTTGCTCGGTTAAGTGCACCCAGCACAGGCAGGCCTGTTGAGATGGGAAGCATCTGGTTGGTATTTCCTGGTATACCAGCAATCCCAGACTGACCATATGGCCCTGCTCTATTTTGCTGTGCCATCCTCAGCTTTATTGCCACTGCAGCAGTAGCAGCTTGAGCATGTGAAAGAGAACTTGGACGAAGACCTGGACTGAAATTGGACGCAGATGCAAGGTTCATCTCGTGAGGACTAATGTTGCCTGAGCCCGAAATAGACCCTGTAGGGGAAGATACACCATGTGGGCCACCAATGCCTATGACATTGCTCAGACCAAGACTCATCACATTGTTTCCCACATTTCCCATGCTAATATTTTGATTAATCCCCAACATCACCTTCCTTGAAATCTGTGGCTGCTGTTGCTGTCCTGCCTGCTGCTGCAGCATCTGTAGCTGCAATGGTGATGGCTTTACCATCTGATTAGTGCTCATTGGCAGATTTGATGTCTGATTCATTATCTGAGAGAGTGGATTCGTAGTGAGCGGTGGAGAGGATGTGTGAACATGAGTGAATGGAAGTTTTTGTTGTTGTTGCAACCGTGATTGTGTGGTGGGCTGCAGCTGCTGTTGTTGCCATGGTGGTTGTTGCTGCTGCTGTTGAAACAAATATTGATCAACTTGCTGCATCCTGGTCGGTATAGCAGTCCCTGGAATATAACCTTGTGATATCCCCAATGCCTGGCTGTTGTTTACAGATGTCAGCATCCTTGCATGGTTGGAAGGGTTCTGGGAAACATTCATAGGCACCATGCCATTGGCCATAGCTGGGGCAGCTACTTGCAGTGGCTGACCAGTAGCTAATTCTGGTTGTTTCATTTGAGATGCAGTGTTATCTAGTAACATTCCTGAAACTGGGGCCAATTTGTTTGGAGCAACCATGCGGATTGGTATTGGTCGTATTTGATCATCAGTTTTCTGATATCCATCACGCTCCATCTGAATAATATGAAACACATAAAGGGAGTTCAAACAGGGTCAATTGACTAGACAATTAGATATTTCGACCTGTAAATCTTGCTTGAAATACTTACCAGTAGACCAAACTGTGCTGCAAGCAGATCTGCATGGTGCTGATAAAAATACCAATATATGAGATCAGAAAATAATTCAATCCAAATATGCTAAAATTGGTAGTAGGGTTCAGTGAAAAGGAACTCACATTTGTGGGTAATGTCAGTTGGTAATCGTGAATAACAGAATCATCCATAAATCCATACTGCATTGATACTGTGCCATCAAAGGGCTTCTCAGTCATTAACAACCTCGTAGGGACTGGAAAGAAGGAAGAGTTGCATATCAGCGGACAAATAACCCAGTTGTCAACTAACAATGTTTTACAGGTTTATATCTTTCAGGGAAAAAAGCTTTAAGCAGGGTTAACCTTGATACATCTCTTCATTGCGCATGAAGCTCATTGATCTGGCCTTACAGGTAGTAGTTGACCCACCAATTAGAGACCTCGACATGGGTTTTGTGTGGTCTGTGTAGTCCTCACAATTGAATGAATCAGAGAGATAAAATGCAAGTTGCTGAGTAGAATACTGTACTGTTTCCCTTGCAGAATAATGATCAACTTTGTTCTTCTTGACATTGAGTTGGTGTCTGATACCAAAACAAAAAGATTAGCAATGACCAGCTTGCTGACATTGATAGTTTTACCCATTCATGTAAACCAAAATGTTCTAAAATGATGCTGTTCCTAAAATTTACAATTATAGAATATGCTGACAAGAACTAGCACATCGAGAGATGGAGAATGTTTACACTTATGCATCAGTCACTTCCCAAGTGACAAACTATAATCATCATTATATGTTTGATGATTCTCAGTGTGCTCAATAAATTCTCTCCTCTCTATCTACAATATACATCTATACAAGGAACAAAGAAACAATACAGACTGCAGACGTCAAAGAGAACCATATATTAAATAGGATGCTGCGGTAGAATGCTATAAAAAAGCAATTTTTCACTAGAAAAAGCAGGAAGACAACTATTTGCATAAACAATCACTACAGATTATAAACATACCTCTGGGCCACCACACCAATTTTCACAAATCGCTCAAGAATGACTTGATCTCCCATAGGAGCAGCTGCAGTTGATGGGCTGTTAGCAGCTAGTGGCACATTCATATTACTAACACTGGCATTATTGATTGCTGTTAACTTATCCTTTTGCACACCCAAAACAGAAACAGTTCTAACACCACTGAACTGTCCAGCTAAAGAACCAGATGAGATCTCCCCCAATTTTGAGGACATCGGTGACTGTACCATAGGCCCAGAAGGGACTCGTGGACTGGGCACTGATATCCTTCTTTGATGCACATCGTCCTTTACAATGTCCTCAGTTATTGGTCGGCCATTCTGCCACTCTACAGCAGTTGGAGGATGGTTTCTCATAGATGAGTGCTGTCGCAAATGCTGTGCTCGTAACTGCTGCAGATCAAGAACACTGTTATCTGAGTCCAGTGTCGGCAGAGCCTCTTTAGGCCTCTCAGTCTCTTGCCTGTCTAAATGTTCTTCATTAGCACCATATCTCAAACCTTGTTGATTGAAGAAAGGTGCTCCAGGTTCATTATTAGGTACATTATTCATCACAGACAAAGTATGTCTTTGACCACCCCAAGTAGAAGAGTGCTGAATTCCCTTTATGTCTGGATGTGAATGTGGAAGTTGGTTTTTCCATTGCATATCTGTGCCAGTAAGGCCAACCAATGGAGGCCCTGTTTGCTGTTGCTGCTGGATGTCATCTAGTCTTACTGGTGTCTGCTTTGGTCTCTTCATGGCTGCTAAAGGTGTCAACTGGGCATCTGGGTTCTCCCTCTTCAAAGAACTAGCAGAGTTACTGCCAGCTGTGTCAGCATAAGAGCTTATCATGTTCTGAGCCAAGGAAATTTTTGCATTAACTCCAGAAAAGTTGCTTGGAAGTCCAGCTGCACGATCCTCTGCAATAGCAGATGAGTTGATAGCTGGTTGAAGCATGAACTCGGAATGCAGAGGCAAAGTTTGTCTGGTGGCTTCATGTCCAACATTGTTACGTCTGAAGGATGGAACCCCACTTGATCCATGTTGCATGGAAATATTCTCATAAACTTGTTGAAGTGATGCATTGCACACTGAAGTTCCCGCACCTCCCTGTCCACAGTTAGGATTCCCAGGTTTCCTATCAGTGCAAATACTTTTCCCAAGGTTTTGGTTATTGGCTGTAACAGTCACCTCAGCAATTTGCTGCAGTTTCCTCTTTCTTCCAAAACTAAGATTCAGCTGCAAAAAATGATTGAGAATAGATAATGGATGTGTTTCATTGCTAAAGTAATTTAAGGAAATTCAAAATACCTTGGTAGCACTAGGGTCTTTACAAAGCCTATCCAACATTGGTGTAGGGTCTAAACAAAGACGCGGTTGCAGAACTTTGAGAATACGTGCCTCCACTTCCTGTGAAACAAAATCATATCTATCAATTCACAGCTCAGTAGTAAGAATGTTCTCTTAGGTGATACCAAAGAGGAATGCCCACCATTAGGTCACTGTAGGTCCAAGAATCATCAGCTATAAAAGGCATGTCCTTAATGACATTTTCCAGTGACATCCTTAACCGCACTTTACGTAAAACTGGCATGACAAAGGATGTGGTAGCAGTTCCTTGTTCAGATATGTGATCTCTATAATCCCGTACCTGCATAAAGGAATAACTGTCTTAGCACAAATCAGGAAGAAACAGTTAAAAATAATTTAATCATAGGGCATGTTTGGCATCAACTATTTTTGTTGATTTACTTCTCTAGAGAATAAAACAGGAAACAACTCATTGGTGGTCATGTTTACGCTTGTCGTTCTTCAAAAGCACATTAAAAAGTTTGGAAAATTGGGAAGAATGACTTTCTTATAAGTTACAAAACAGAAGATATTCCATCCATATTGGGTAATTGTTCATTAAATGACTCATCTGTTTTGATGGGTTGTAGTAAGTTGCATGACAATATGGAGTTTGATTAGCTCAGCTATAATTCCTAATTAGGTTTAGTCATAATTCCACAAATTTATCTCAGCCATGAACTACTCACTGGATGGCCATGTACCATACAGATGCAGTATTGTCAAAGACACAAGGGGCCAAAAGGTACTACGATTCCAAACTCTCACCAATGTTAATATATAATTAGGAATAACGATGATCATTAAATAAAAATTACACAATAAATGAGTTTCATATCATTTCATATTCGAAAGATTACCACTAAAACATCAAATTACACAAGATTATCCATCTATAAAGAATTAAAGAACTCACTGGTTAACCACTATTAACGAGTTACCCATTATAATAAAAAGTTAGCATCACTGTTATCAACAATATTTAACTATTATTGACAAGAGTTAACAGTGAGAACAAAAAATTAACAGCGAAGCTATACCGATAGAGTGTAGAGGCGACAGAGAAGAGGGGTGCCATGATGGAAAGGAAAGGTGCAGAGGAATCCAGTTGAGCCCAAAGGTGGTGGAGTCTAAAGCTGTCTCTATGACGCGTACGTTCTAGTGCTATCTCTATGGTGATGTTCCTCAATTGGTTGTCGCACACGACGAGAGGACGTTGCCAATGATTGACAGGAGGGGTCCTATTTTTTAGGAAGGAGAGGTGGTTGGGGCTACCATGCACCAAAGGGAAGGTACCGCATGAGGTGCTCCGGATGCATGGTGACAGAGGAATGATGACAGCGGAAAGTCAAACACCAAAGAGGGGGTGTTGTCAAGCTCAACAAAGGGATGACAGTAAAGAGTATGCAACACCAGAGAGAAAGAAAGAGAGGTCGTGCGAGTAAAATTGACGACTCATGCGATGAGAAGGTTGGAGTGGTGGCCTCGTGCTTGGTTGAGGCCAGCATAGTTGCAGGGAGGGTGTCGCTGGCCATGGTCGATTGAGGGGCCATGGTTGCGAGGAGGTCATCGTTGGCTACGAAGAAAACATTAGGGCTCGCAATTGAAAGCATGCAAGCCCTAATCAATTAGTTCTTAGAAGATTGAGCTAAATCAATTGACTTAGTCAGGTTGAAATCACATGGTCAAGTTCGAGCATCTTAGTTTGATCTACATCAATTAACTCGATAAGGCTCAAATCAAATTGGAATTGACCTAGGCCAACCTAGGTGAGTACCTGAGCTGCTTAGCGCCCAGGCCCTAGCGCTTGCCTATGTGTCCCGACTCCAATCGCTCGCCCAAGAGTTGATTCGAGGTGCTTAGGCCTCGCGTTGCCTAAACACCTAGGTGACAACCGAGCACCTTTTGATAACACTGTACAAAAGTCATTGTTTTTCACATGGTTCGCATTACCGATCCGTACCAGTGTACCGACCAACTATCGGTATGGTACGTATTGAGTTGTACCAAACGTAACAATGCATGGTGCACTACGGTGTGCCGATGTACCGCCCATACCAGTCCTCCATCGGATCGGTATGTACCGCCCATTTCGAGCGGTATATTTCGGTACATCAAACCTTGGTTTTTCATTCAACTCACCATTTATATAATTATACTATGAAATTATGCAAGTCTAGGTTCCACAAGGTTAGCAAGATCAAAGCAATAAGATAAGAGTCACTTTAATGGTAGGTCAAGCAACCGATCATATATACATTACTACTTTAGTTTCATATTTTACCTAACATTGAAATATAGGTTTTGTTGTTCTAAAAATTAAAAAGAGTGGGGGAGCCAAATAATAATAATAATAATAATAATAATAATAATAATAATAATAATAATAATAAAATTGATAAAAAAAGATGACAACATACAGAAAAGAAAATTAACAGAATATTTGGAGGCACAAATCAGTAGCTTTAAACCAAGAACAACTGGTCACTACTTCTAGACCAATAAATACAAAAGAAAGTTCACAAGAAAAGAAACCTGTGTGTGGAGATATTCAAACAATTGACTTCCAGATGATGAGATATTGAGTACAAAAACGTTATACTAATTTGTCATAATGTGTATGCTCAAAATAGGTGTTTGTTCTATTGTCTTGTTGCTTGAATGTGCCATTAAGATGCTGTCTATAGCAAAGCTTGTCATTTTCCTTCCTTCTGCAGTCCTCCTAAGTTTAGGTAATTTGGAAAACTATGCTGTGCAAACTGAAACCAGTAACAAAGAGCTTCATCCCCAACAGGTTCTTTTCTTTCTTTTAAGTGTGTCCTCTGATGATAACTTTAACTTGCCTAGGGGTTGAGTACCACAGAGAGATGATGTCAGGATGACACCAGTCATATAAACTCTACCATATCTTCCATGAAATTGTTCAGATCTTAAACTATAGCTGACACATTATTGTTCGGAAAAGTAGAAGATGGTCAAAAAATGGTTTTCTGTCTAGTTTCCAACTTTAGAAATATATCACTTACAAAGACATTATTGTTACATGTAAAACTGAATGGATGGATCCATGTCATCCTTATGATATTATAAGTCAATTCAAAATACAGCAACTGCCAACATAACAAGACAATTAAGTAAATTGTGTTCCTTTATATATGAAAGTTAGTCTCATACATTGTTGTAATAATAAAGCTCATCTTAATAAACTGATTTTAGTTCATTTGTCATTTGAAAAACTTTGGAAGTGTTTAACCCAATAGTTTTCATTCAAATAAATGACTGATTACAGGCTACAGCTGAACCATCTAGCATGCAGAACTGATTAATTTGGCAATGGAAAATGAGCAAAATGACAAAAAAAAACACATAGTAAATAGTAATTAACCAGAAAATAAGATAGGGTGTGAATGAGCCAGTCAGTGCCCTTGAGTACATGAAATTGAGGACTATGTTCTCAAACAAACTACTTGGTCTATCACTTCATCAACCAAAATGAAAACAACAATGAACCTAGTTATATAATCTTAAGTCTTAATATAGGAGATACAACATAGCAAACATAAGACAATTATAGGGAAAACAACCAAATTCTTGGAAAAACAACAAAAACCAATGAGGCAGTCAGTACCCTTGAGTACATGAATCTGAGGAACACGTCTTCAAACAAACTTAACTTGATCCATCACTTCGTCAAACCAGAACAAAAACAAGAATAATGAGTCTAGATGATAATCTTAAATCTTAATATAACAGACACCTAGCAAACACCAGGCAACTATAAGGAAAATAATAAACTTCATTAAAGAACAACAAAATCCTGTAAATTTGAAGTATCAGCATGAGTGGTTCAGCAGTGTGAAGTATAGCTGACCTGGCAGACAATGGCCCCATCAAAGTACTTGGTAGGTATATCATCAAGAATATCTCCCGGTAACCACCCTGACTCAATTGCCTCCAAGATGTGATGAACAATTAAAAAAAAAATTAGAGTCGAAGTGAATCAAGATGAAAGAGGATATGAGAATATTTACTTCTCTGACATCTTATACAAAGCAGATAAGGAAGAACAAACTTAAAACTTAAGTGAAATTGGTTGCACCATTATCATAGAAATACAAAGAAATCTTGTGCTGAATATAATATAAAATACAGAAGCTTCAATTTTTTACATTTTCTCTTGTCACTATTATGTTAGTTAGAGGAGGGAGAGTGTTGACTGTGAGAGAGCTCCGAAATTATGTTCCAACAAAATGACACTAAAAATTAAAAGTAAAAAAAGAAATGAGCTCATGATTTGTTAATAAAGAAATTAATTCTTGAGGAATTAAATTAGAAAGAAAAAGTGTTGCAGCATTTTGTGCAAATAATCAAACCAGCATAAATTTTCCACATATATGCACGCCTGTGGTATGTATGAAATATTAATAATTTGCACAGCCTAAAACTGAATACTCGAGGTCATTTGTGTCTATAGAAATGACCCACACCAATTTCCAGGACTGTACAATTTTTAAAACTCACAGAAACTAGAACTAGAGATTCAGGCTTTGGATCATTCAAACAATTTATCAGCTTATATAGTTAAATGCAAGACAATATCTCTCACTACTTGGTCCAGGCCGAGCCAAGGTAACCTAATTTCTTTTGTGCAAGCAAAGAATGGTCCAACCTCAAAGCAGAAGATTGCAAAACTGAAAATCTCACATCAATGCAATATTGATTTGGTCACTTCTTAATGGGATTTGACATTTCATCCAGACCGGTAGTGGTACATAATAGTCCGAATGTGAACCGGTATGTGGACTGTCTCTGCTAGGGCAGTCCAGTCCAACCCATTAAAAAGGAAAAGAAAATAAAAACATTTTTCCTAGTCAATTAGCACGATTTTGCCACTGGCACTGGACACCACATAACTCCCTGCTGCCCGCCATTCACCGCCCACTACTTGTGTGCACCATCAACAGGTATGCTTCTTCTCCTCTTCTTCCTCCTCCTTCCTCTTCGTCCTTCCTCCTCCTCTCCTGCCACCATTCCTTCCTCTTCACCTTCAATTTTTTCCTCTTTGAAACACTAGTACGTACTAGTATACTATGTGCCAATTCATTGGTACCAACAGGTACATACAAATCCGACCAATGGGTCCGGTACCCAAAACGACATTCCTTCCTTCTTAATACATTTTTCAGTACCTAGTTGAAATATTTGCTCAGCCGACTGTGACATATGAGTCGAGGCCAACAGCTACTAAGCTCACAAAAGATTTTGGTTTTATTGGTACCAGGGCTGCCCATAGTAAAAATTCACTTGATCAAAAGTGAACTAAATGTAAAGACAATTAGAACCTCATAAACAACTTCATATTTGCAGAGTTCATACTTACAGAAAAAAGTGTCTCCGATGCCTTATCATATGGATGCAATGGCTTAACATCTTGAAGCAGAGTCTGGCAATTCTCTATCTGACATATTGAAATTATGTCAGGATAATAACGACTGTAATAAATGAATCTGTTGTAAATAATCGGACAAATGGCAAATATTAACACATTAAGATCCAGAAGATGTGTAATTCATAATTTCAACAAACCTCGGTTGGTTTCCCAATGGAGTATCCCTTTGGATAAAGGTTCAAGGTAAAAGAAACCTCATGCTCTGCTACAGTATTGAAACAAAGAAGGATGTAACTCACTAGAGCTGAATTTTGTGTTGATGATTTGCAACAATAATCACAGTTACCTGGAAATACGTCACCGGTGTCATTTGCAGCCTCGGTATCATCAACCTACGGGATAAGATATTTTAGGCAAAGGAAGAAAAGACCTAATATTTCTTTCCATCATACAATAGTAATTCTGAAAAGATCTACACGATCACCAAAACACAAAATTCAATAGAACATTAGGAGAATTTCTCTCCAGATAACAGAAAAAGAACAACTGATAGCCAGAACAGAGTAAGGGAATAAGTAGTTTTTGCATGCACACACGAAGTGTACGCCAGACCAGAAAGTCGTCGTATATAAAAATGCAACTCAAACAACTCGTGATACCATCCAACAAAACAACAAATTTCGACCATGTTGGATGCCAGATACTATCCGGTTCAAAGTGCTCTAGGTCAGAACCAGAAAACTTCCTAAAGAATTTCAAAATTCCAAGCGATTACCAAACGCAAATCACAAAAAACAGCAAACTTCACGACAAACAGCATCCAAAAACCTATCTTTCTCCAATAATGCCCTCCAAAGCAAATCAAGAATTAAAGAATCACCCAATCTTCGCCAGAAATAAGAGAATGATCAAAAGACACCGTCCAAAGCGCAAAAGAACAAAGAGACGAACCTCGCGCTTCGACCCAGCTCCGACGAGAACGCCAGAGCTCTCCTTGGATTCCTCGCCGGATGGGCCGGTCTCCTCTTGCACCAAGATCGGCTTCGGCCGGAACCGCTTCCCGGACTTCGATAGTCTGAAGGATATACCCATCTCCCTCCTCCTCCTCCTCCTCCGCCACCAGCGGTCCCTTCCTTGCCGGGCCACGGATCTCCACTCCGAGCAGAAGGCAGCGATCGGAAAACCTCAATGAACCCTCTCTCAAAGAGCACCACTTGGTTTAAGTCAATCAAGACTTTTGGTTCTCCTCCTCCTCCTCCTCCTCCTCCTCATGTAAACCTTCTTCCCTCTGCCTCTGCCTTTGCCCCTCTGCCTTCGCCTTTCCCTCCCTCGGGATGTCGTCTCCAAATAGTATCAGAAAACACGGAAACGACGAAAGAGCGCGTGCGATATATATATATATATATATATATATATATATATATATATATATATATATATATATATATATATATATTTATTTATTTATTTATATATTTATTTATATTTATATTTATATTTATATAATATATGTGATATATGATGTGGCATTGACATGGAGTAGGAAATGGCTACTATTTGGCAGAGATGTGATACCAATGCATCAAAAAACCTATTAAGACTTGCCTTTTGTTATCATGCATTGTATTTTAATCACCAGAATTTTTAGAGATAATCTAATTTTTATTGTTTATATAATATATTCTTTTAATATTATCCTCAAATACCTGAAATAGTCTTCCCCTCTCATGCGTCCCTTGGATTCTTGATGATTGGATCATTTAATGGGGACTTGATGTGGTAATCGAGAATTCCCAGGGGGTCTGATCTTGAACAAATCTGCATGGAATTAATTCATCTCATGTCCTTGGAATACGATCTAAAAGTCATGTTCTTTTATGCACCTTTATTTTTGTTATCTCATGGATACAATATCTCTACGAATCCATAGTATCATACATTTAATTCATTATCATCATCATCCCTTCTCTTCCACATGTATTAGATCCTCATAGAACACACTTGGCATCAATTGTATTTTTGGTAATAGAGGAACCTAAAGTCTAAGAAAGAACTCAATGATAAGGAAATAGATCCCAAAAAGTTGGTGGATCTTATTTATTTCTGTAGGAACCAATAGCATATTTGAGGATTAAATAAAAAGCATGGGACACAGTTCCATGAATCCTGGAATCTTTACCAATTTGGCAATGTAATTTTGTGTTGCACAATACCATTAACACAATTCATACTCCATTCCTCCGTGATATTTCATAAAAGATGGAAAAGTTTTCATCCACTGCACTACGTTTCTCAACAGAAATAAAAACAATTCAATGATTGAACCACAAAATCAGACGATACTCCCCTCACTTGGGAAGAGCATATAGCAGTTCTAAAATTACAATCCTAATGAACAAGTAGTTCGATAAAACAAGGGGATGACTGCATAGATTTTACACCCTGAGCATATAGCGGGGTATGAGACATTCCTAATGAACAAGTAGTTTGATAAAACAAGGGGATGACTGCATAGATTTGCTCTCTTTTCTTCAGCAGCTTGAAATACTATGCTTAAGGTAATCAATCACACAAGCAGTAAGTAATTGCTCCAAAGTTTAGAGGTAGAGTTGAATAAGCTCATCACTCACAACGGAAGGTGTAAGAACACCGAGATCAGTGAAAAGCAGCGTGAGGTACTGAGGTGGGGTGTAATCCCTCGCAGATGTTTCAACCTCAACCCCTGATGGGATGGGAACACCAAAGTCTATCGGGTGAAGTGCAGGTTCCAGGTCCTTCTGGTCCAATGGATATAGGCGCGCAAACTGCAATCATCACAACAGCAAAGCACAAATTCACTAATTCTTTTGACACCTTTCATGAAAGGCAGGTTCTGGTTTAACTTCAACAACAAATGAAAAAGAACACAACCATGCATCTCGTGTGGAAAATAAACCTCTGACGAAACAAAATACCAAACATTAAAAATCTTCAGAAAGGTAATCTATGCTGTCCAGGGAATTGAAAGAAAGCTAGACATTACATTTTTTACTTTCCAAAAAAATCCAGTCATTGTATAATCGCCAGATTTAATAGACATGGATCCTTATTTCATGTGGTTTAGCATTACACAAGTGTCATTTCATTTTAACTCCTTTGTCAGTACAAACAGAACTTGGTAGATACCCCCCTTACACTCTAAAGCTAACTGATGCTTCCATACCCTGTAAACTAGTAGGTTTGACAAATCTAATTTTATATTCAATTAGAGAAGAATAAAAGTACAATTAGCAACAACAACAATAAAATTGTAAATCCCAATTATTTGGAGTTGTCTACATGGTTCTTTTGCCATCATCGAAATATGTACAAAGTCTTTATTTATAATTTCTAGTAAGATTTTTTTCAGTTTTTCTATGTTTCTCATACCATTAATATTAATTATTTCGTCACTTTGAACTACCGCATTCATAGGTTTCCTCAACATATAGTCATACCATTTTAAACAATTCTATCTCATCTTAAACTCTAAATTCCACACATCTATCTCAACATTCTAATCTCAGTAATAAAAATTTTTTGTATATGTTATTTTTTAATCTCACAACTGTCTTATAAATTTTTTTTAATCATAAAGGTATACAAAAAAAACCCCTGACGCCCCTTCTCAGTTTAACCATCCTGTTTTATAATTAACAACAGCGGAAGACAAAAGGAGTTATCGGGCTTAAACCTTTTAGAGTAAACCAACTTCCACTAGGTGTGTGTCATAATTTTCTTCACTAAATTATACTCCCTTTACACCCTTCATTTGTACCACAAAATAAAAAGGGTGATCGGCGCCTTAGTTCAACACTATAAGTTCAATATAGACTTCACAAATGTTTAGAGAAATCAGTAACACCAGACATTAAATCATGCGAGTAAGAGCATCAAGTTGGCTGTCTCAAAACCATCTTACAAATCTAATTACTTGGACATGAAGAATTGTAACATATCCAATGATCTAGAGGATAAAGGCATAGAAACAACTTTTCCTGTATTCCCTTGTACTAAGCAGGAAAATGACAGCCACAGGTTACACCCTATATGTTGATCACTCCATCATGCAGCAGATGTTGAACATAAATGATTAGATAAATCATCAATTCTTCCTAAATTTTTTATTGAATCATTCAAGTAATGCTATACATTTTATGTACAACATTTTATACTGCTCTGGTAACTCAATGATGAAAAGTAGGGGAAAAAAAGAATTAAAACGTAACACCGAAAAAAGCAGGCTAGGACTAGGTTTTATACTAGACTAGAGCTTTACACATGAAGTTACGATAAAAGGATTTGTTCCCACATAGCCTCACGGTAGACCCTATTCACCATAGCCTCACATTACAAGAATTTAACAAGTAAGCAAGAACATAAGATGTGGTTTCCATTTCTAATTCTGGATGGTTAGCTCTGTCTTGCCTGTATCTGCCATCAAAGTTGGACAAGGTGCAGTTGTTGGAAAAAACATTTTTGTAAGTAAATAAAGATGACAGAAAGCCTATGTTGGGTTCATCTTTGAGTTTGCAAACTACTGGTCATAAAAATTGCAGACATAGTAGATCAAGGTGAAAATTAGACCTTGTAACTTTCAGCAGCTACATAAACAGGTTTGTTCATGCTATGAGCGACTAATGCAGTTTGATATGTTCCCATCATGTTGATGATACCTCCGCTTTCAACAACCCCATCAGCTCCAACAAATACCATGTCAACCTCATCCATTGCATAAGCCACTGCAGAATCAATTAGAAGCTTGACAGGAACACCGAGTGCTGCAAGTTCTTTGGATAATCTAAGGCCTGTCTTGTCAGGTCTGCCCTCTGAAACAGAACAAAAACACCAATTATTTTTGTGGAAGTTAATGGTTCCAAAGAATAGACATAGTTGAGGTGCTTCAGACAAGGACCTGTGCAGAAGATTCTGAAGAGTTTTCTATTTGATGCTGCCAGCTTCAAAACTTCCAATACTACTCTTGAAAAACCATGAACTAAAATTGTGCAACCATCAAATACAAAATCCTGTCCGAGCATTGCAATTGTGCGGCGTGCCTAGCAAAGTTCATGCCAAAGTAAATTACTATGGTGCAAGGATGAAAACAGAAACCAACACATGGTTATCATGTACCTTCATGGAGATCTCTCCAAATTTTTCCCCTCGTTCAATCAACCGAAGCTTTGCAGCATGGAAGTCCTCATATTCCACAGCAGAAGTTCGGGTTACATATCGCATGAACAGATCACAACCGGCTGACAATGATATAGAAGTTGTGTCCCAAGACTAAAATACAAACATGTCGGTTAGGTAAACTTCACAGTCAAATAAAGTGACAACATGCATGAATATTTCTCTGGTTACCTATTGCGAACTGAGAAGATAATAAAGTCTATATTACCAAGTCAGTCAACAACAAAAAGAAACCTAGGGCACGATGTCCATTCATATCTCATTCTAAAGCTGTAACTATTCATCTGTCGCATGCAAAAATTCATTCCTGGTTCACCCACATACCACATATATGTAGAATTAGCTAATCAAATTTCCAACCCAATTAAAGCACTAAACCAGTCCAGATATACTAATCCCTTTTCACTTGCCTGAATTCTTTCTCAGCTACATTTGGATACTTTTTGGACACACAAGAACAAATGGAGGGTAGGGTTTGCCAATTTACTACCACAATCGAACAGCTAAAGAAATATTTAGAGTCCATGAAATATGATGTCAAATGATGACACAAGAACCCTGAAAGAGATCTGGACCGGATCATTGATTATTTCATTAGCTCAGATATAATATCTCTGTCAAATTTTAATCTTACCGGACCAGGTTGCCAGAATCACTTTTGCCATTATTCGCATCGGCAGGTTATTTTGAGATAAAGCTTTCATCCTGATAAGGAAACTACTCTAATATGATCACTAATAGCAAATGTCTTCAACTAATTTTGAGCCAAATCCTGATGGCAAATTTCTTCAAATCAGCTTATGCATATCTCAGAAACTATCATGTTCAATGCCCTCTGGTTACTTGTGTTCTTAATTAACAGAACACGACAACAATTTCTTTACATCCCAAATTTTCTATGACTATCAGACTCCCTACAACAAGGCTTTTCTTCAACGAGATCCAAATATTTGATCCTTCCATCTGCAGCTTACGAATCTTCTTTATACAGCAATTTTTCGCCTTAAAATCCCTTTTGTAAGCGTGCCATGCATTCTCCTTTGGTGCTGAACCATGGTAAACTTATTTGCAACTCATCCATCATCTACTCAAAGATGCTAAAGATTAAACAGACAACAATTCTGGGTTGACAATGTTAACTATTG